GTTGCAGTTTGTCAGCTGGTGTCGTTCCTGAACAGAAATTACAGCAAGGAAATTCCCAAAACTTGCTGAAGGCTGCAGGAGTTACTCTGAAATTCTTTTTGTTTTAAAAAACGTAGGCTGCATTTTCCTCGTATATTTCTGCAGCATGTTCATGTGTACTTGGTTGCTTGCTTACCTAGAAGTAGCTAATGGGCTATTAGGGTTTGTCTTGGAGTAATGGGAGACATGAAAGGCATTATTAATTTTTGTGACAGAGAGATCTTCCAGAGGATAACTGAACTTTTTTTAAAATGAATCTTCTGTTTTCTGTCAGCTGTAGCCAGCTGCCCTCTGAGCCACTGGTTCACATAAAATAACAGGTATAGGGGCTGAGTGTGACAGCACTGCTAATCTCATTTTATTGCATTCTTTATACTGAATTTGATGTTCAAATGATCCCTCCAGAATTTCCTACATTTCTACAATGCCCCAATATAGCTTTTATTGAAAACCACCAGATCTTTTGACAAGATTTATGTTCCTATTCCTGCCTTCTCTCATGTCATAATTGCCTTACAAGTAAATCTCCATGAAGTTGTGCAGGTGGCTTTTTACTGTTGTTGTAGCATGCCAGGTCCTGATCCTGGCATGTTTTGAGGGAAGCTGGGTTCTCTGTTGTTTTTCACTGTCAGGACTAGGTTGTTGTAATGAAACAGGTGGATTTGAGTTGCTACAGGTTGCACTGCAGTGCATTTAAATGTCTGCTGCCAGATTATAAACATTTTCCACACTTAATGGTGTCTGTCTCTGAGTGTTTTTGGCCTGTCACCTGTGAGCTGAGAAGACATTTTTCTTAGCTGGCACGTCAAGCAGGATGTGCTGTTACCTATTTTAAAATTTTTATACCGAAAATGTGTTTGCAACTGTCCTTTTCCAAACCCTTTTCTGCAATATTGTGTAATTCTTGCCTGTTCTTTTTCTGATAGCCCCTCTTACAAGTTTTTCCATAATTACTAGATAGCATTTTCAACTTATGCTAAATCAGGTCAGGTCTTTGTGCCTGCAAAGGTGCTGTGCCAATTTAAATATATATTGATATACATATAAAGTTTTTACTTGGTTTGATATGTTTTGGGGTTTTTTTTTTTAGTTTTTCATTTTCCTTGAATATAGGATGCTCTTTGAAGTTTTTATTCCCTTAATGAACAGTGAACAAAAGAATTTTGTTTCATAATTGTAAAGTTCTGCAGGCTTTCTTGAGGAAAAATGATTTAGCATTTGCTTCAACTGTTTTGTTTTTTTAAGCTCTTTATGTTGGGAATGTATTTTTTTTTTTTTTGTAGTCTTGGGTAAGGGTTCCTATATTGGCAGAAAAAACAAAGGTTTTTGAAATCTACAGGAGAATTTGCCAAGGGAAGATGGTTAGTACATTTAGTACATTCACAGTTGGACATTGTTCCTTGTGGTTACCACCATCTTGCAGGGTTAAGGGATGATTTATTTATGACTAAATTTAGTCTCAGTAGAAGAGGAAAATAGTAACAGTGCTGCATGTTGGCCTCATGGAAGATAAGAGACTGTACTTGTGATATTCCCAGTAAAATGCTGGTATGAGTCACAATATTGAAAAACTTAACTTTTCTGGTTGTGATGTTATCTGGAAGAAATCTTCCATATATTTTTGCTTGGACTCTGGGAGGGAAACTGGAATTCTTTCTTCTTCCTAATTAATTTATATTGTAAAAAATAAAAGATTTTTTTTGTCACTTTGCTGTTTTCATGGTGAAAGATTTTTTCCTAGTGTGAACTGTATTAATATCTTCTACAACAAAGTGATATGGTCAGTGATAAACGCTGCTAGGAAAAAAGAGGGGGAAAATAAAAGAGTTAAGCTTTATCTTGTAATTTATTTTTTTTTCACCTTGAACGGCAGCAAATCTGTGTCAGTGGAAATACTGAAACGGGCTGCATGTGTGGAAGAATGTACTTAGTTAATAGTTGGGATAATTCACAATTTTAAATCTGACAGTGGTGTAGTGAAAGTTTTCATTTCAAGAAAAATACTGGAGGGTTACATTTGCTTGTTTCCAAAGACAACTTTTCGTCTTAATCTAGTGCTTTTGTGTGAAAAGGGAGCGTGGTGTAGTGCATGGCAGCAATAGCAGAGTTCTTCTCCCTGAGTTTCAGCTGTGCCAGCTCTGGGAACCCTTCCCATAACCCTGATCAGCTCTAGCTGTTGGCTTTCATAGCTTGAGTTATTCCTGGTTTCTGGAGTAGCAGAGAGGATGGTCCTGCCCATGCAGACAGCTCAGGGCTGAGTGAGCCCAGCACTGGCAGCTGGGAGCTCCCCTGCCTGCCCAGGACAGCTGGAGGTGGTTCCTGCACAGCACCTGCAGTGCCACCAGCTCCTCTCTGCCACCTGGCAGCTGCTTTCTGTCCAGGATAGCAGCCAAGGCCTTCCATTCCATGGGAAGGGTTCAGAGTTTAACAAAATGTTTGCTAATGCAAGGAGAAGACAGTTCTCCGTGGCAGATTTTCCATGTTGAGGGTGAGGAACTCTTCAGAAATGGTTTAAAAACTTTAGAGCTCATCTGGTGTATAGGTAAGGACTTTATCAGGTGATGCTTCTGTGTGCAACAACGATGGACTTCCAGCAGCTTTTGAACTTGGTGCTTTTGGGGTGAAGTCCTTTAACTGAAACAGTCTAATCTTTTGGTTCAAGTTAAACTCATCTAAAGCTGTTAATGAGTGTTTGCCCTGATTTACCGTGGTGAGTTTTTAGCAAATGAATTAAGTGCTGTGATTTGGATTAATTTTCAGGAGAATCCTAATGAATGCAAGCTCTTGGTGGAATGTACTTTATGCTGTGTCTAAGGAATCATATCTGACTTGTTTGGAGTGCTCAAGTGGTGTCACAGCAGCAATTTTAGCATTTTGATATCTCAAACAGTGAGGCTAGTCTGAAATAGCCTTTCTGTTTGGAAGAAGTGTTTTTCTTCCAGATCTGGGGCACAGTGTCTTGCTTATTGAAGCAACTTCAGGGGAACACTGTAGACTTTGTTGCATAGTTTATATTTCTGTCCTGTTTTGCATAAGGATGTGTAGTTGAAATAGAAGAAATATAACTTGTATTAAAAAAAATACATATGTAGGTGTTGCTTTGGCAGATAATTTCAGTTAATGCTGGTGGCTGTTTTTCCTTGGCTGGTTCTTCTTTACATATGTGCTCTAAAATATTCTGTAGCAATATTTTTGCTAGCTTTTCTTGTCATTTAAAAAAACCAGAGCGAGCACTTGAACATCTTGAGAACTGCTCACAAAGCAGCATCAATTTCCATAAGCTTTGTATAATTCCTCATGCTCTTGTATGTTCTATGCAATTGTGTGGAATTGACAAAATGCTGGCTTACCCTGGCCTTGCTTGCCATTTAAAGTTCAAGGTTTAGCTAAACATTTTGAAACTATTTCTTGTATCTTTTCCTATACCAACTCATTCCGAAAGAGCATTTTTTTCTATCTTTCTGGATTTTATTTTCTTCTTTCCTTTTCCAGTTTTTTTTGCAATATTAGGTTTTGGTCTCTTCCTTCCACCCGCTTGTACTGTTTCTACAATTTCTTTTGTAAATGTATCACTGTTTTAAACCTAATCTTTAACCTGTTTGCCCAGGGATTATCTCACAAACATGCTGGCTTGGAGAAATGTATTTCTAATATCTGGCAAGCCTGACTTCTGAGCAGAAGGGCAGGTAAATGAAAGCTGGTGTGAAAGGCAAGTGTTGAGAAATATTGGATGCTGCTGCTCTTTGGACACTGGCTAGTATTCTTTCATCTGATGAGATCAGGAATGTTTTAGTGTTCTACTTTTGATTTCAGTTGAGCCCAGCAGTAACATGAAATGATTTACACTGGAAAAAGACAGTGAAAGAAAAAAGTGAGAACTGTATAGTGGAGTGAGTTTTACAGTGCTCTAGTTCTTGCTTTTCTGCTAGATCTTGGCTATTAATTGTGATCCCAGCCCAGGGTCCCTGTGCTAAAGAGTTTCCTGCCAGCACTTGTACAACAGCATCATATTGCACTGCAAAAATAAGGAATTCTATTGCATATGCCACTAGAGTCTTTATTTAAAGAAAAAGCAGAGGGGCGAAGGAATAGCAGCAGGATGATGTCGTACTGTTCTGTGTTTTAAGAGTTCCCTGCTGTTGTGAAATATTATTTAATGGAATTAATCTAAGCTGGCTAATGAGAAGTATATTTCAATCAAAATCTTTTCTTAACCTGAACAAATATTTAAGTTATATTTCGTTTGAGAGAAAACAAGAATCTAGAACCAGTTTTCAGTGGATCTGTGATTCTCCTGTTCATCTTAACCTTGTTGGTCTCATTGCTTGGTCATGACTCCTCTTTTAGATTTGCATCTGTGCTTGCTTAAGTTGTGTGGTCAGTAATGATTGCATGATTATTCTTAGTTTTGGTTCTGACTTCTGCATTTGAAGTGGGGCTGACAGCTGTGCTAGGGAACCTGCTGGTTGAGATCATGGTCAGAATCATTTCAGTCTGTCCTGCCTTCCCATTTGCAGGGTGATTTCACAGCACAAGGGTTTAGAAGCTGTGTCCTGTGGAAGCTGGCAGTGCTTGAAGGAAGGATATACTGAGTGGCTTTAAAATTTTGATTCTCTCTTACTCAGATAAGGGGTAAAGCATTAGGGCCAGTTATAAATAGGAAGAAAGCTTAGATGACATCTGAAGGGCTCTGTCATGGCCAACAAAATTCTGGCTTGAAGATTGATGGATTCTCTTTTCCTTCCCGCTTTAGTGTGATAATATAACAATAGAAAAGCAAGAATAGAAGGTTTAAATATAAGAGTTTAAATAAGACATTGCTTTTTTATTAGGAGAAATTAAAAAATACTTAATATAGTAGAATATAATCTAATATGGGACAAACATTTGGTGATAAACCAGGTATTTAATGTGTTCTTTTTATTGATGTAGATTTTCATGTATTATTCTTATTGATGCAGGTATGAACATCGTGAGCACATGACTTCAGAGATGGACAACCGGATCTGTTACAACTTGTGATTGGCCTTAAGTTGACTTCTAACCATTGAAGAGCTTACCAGGAATTCTCTCATTCCTGATTTTTTTATTTTTGCCTATCTGATTGCCTCACACCACCAGCTTCACCATGTATGGAAGTGCTCGTTCAGTGGGCAAGGTGGAGCCCAGCACGCAGAGCCCGGGGCGCTCCCCGCGCCTGCCGCGCTCGCCTCGCCTGGGCCACCGGAGAACCAACAGCACGGGAGGCAGCTCGGGGAGCAGTACTGGGGGTGGCAGTGGGAAAACCCTTTCTATGGAAAACATTCAGTCCTTAAATGCTGCCTATGCCACGTCTGGCCCTATGTACCTAAGTGACCACGAGAACGTGGGTGCGGACACCCCGAAGAGCACCATGACGTTGGGCCGCTCGGGGGGGCGGCTGCCTTACGGTGTTCGCATGACTGCCATGGGCAGCAGCCCCAACATCGCCACCAGCGGAGTTGCCAGCGACACCATCGCGTTCGGAGAGCACCATCTCCCCCCGGTGAGCATGGCATCCACTGTGCCTCACTCGCTGCGCCAGGCCAGGGATAACACCATCATGGACCTGCAGACACAGCTCAAGGAGGTGCTGAGGGAAAACGATCTGCTCCGCAAGGATGTGGAGGTGAAGGAAAGCAAGCTGAGTTCTTCCATGAACAGCATCAAGACCTTCTGGAGTCCTGAGCTCAAAAAGGAGAGAGCTCTGAGGAAGGATGAAGCTTCAAAAATCACCATTTGGAAGGAGCAATATAGAGTTTTGCAAGAAGAAAACCAGGTTTGTCATCTGATGTCACTGCTGTGTTGGTGTGGTAGCGTGATTAAATGACTTGAATAGATTTGCATGTTACACTTAAGCAGATAAATTACACTGGTGCTTTTCTTGGGTAATTGATGTGGGTAAGATGTGTTTTCAACTTGCAAGCCTGTTTTTAGATGTTTCTTGTCAGACTTGTAAACTACCTTGAGTGCTCATTTTTCCTTGGGTGTCATGTGATTTTTTTTTTCCCCTAGGACTGATTGTAACCACTCGGTTTCCTTTTGGAAGTATTTATTCTGTTCATAATTAATATTTCTCTGTTGTTTACCTCTTGAAACTTCTCTGAGATGCAGAATGTACTAACTGCTGAGCCCCAGTATAACTGAACTGTTGCCAAATGTGGACAGAGTGCCATTAAAAACAAGGTTATACTCACTGGTATTTGGAGCTAAAACCTCCAGACCTGCAGTTTTCACAGATATAAATTGTGTTTTTGGCTGCTTTTAAATAACACTGTTTAATACATGCCTGCAATTCTTTTGTCATAAACTGTGCATATCTTGTTATGCAACTATCCTAAAGCACCCTACAGTTTTTTTGTAGTGGTCTGGCCAGTTAGAGAATAGGTAGAAGAACAGAGATTCTCAGGTGTCTAGGTCTTTAGTCTTGTGCATCTTAAAAGCATCTCCAAATTAAAATAAAATAGAGAGGTTGGTTAAAATTGAGGGCTCTTTGTAGTTAGTTCTACTGATTAAAAGCTTTCTTAAAGTTCTCCCACCTAGACCTCCTTCCTACCTTAGTCCTGAAGTAAATATTTGCCTTTGAATGAGTGTCCTGCTATTCAGTTGTTTCTGGCCAGATGTGAGTTCAGCACCTCTCTGGACTGTCAGGTAAAAAAAAAAAAAAAATCACTCTTCTTATGGAAAACAGACCCTGTGTCCAACTCCAGAAGTTCCCTGAAATGTAAGTCCTCTTTCATCATGACAAAATTGCTTTCCCTGTTGAGCTTTTTAAGTATCCGAGCACATTTAATGGAAGTTCCCCATAATTCAAATGTGGCCATGACCCTGGAGCTTTTAAGGTATAGTTGCTATTTTGGGCAATGCTTTTTGTAAGATTGCTTTAGAAGGTGAAGGAGAGAGGGAAGTGCTGAAGGAAAAGGGTAGTGCTGGTAGTGCTTGTTATACTTCCAGGTAGCCTGTCTGAAATAGTAAATTACTTTGGGTAAGTCATTAGTCTACTACACTGAACCTGTCTGCAGTTTTCTTTTAACTTTTTAAAGAGCATGACTTGAAGAAAATAAGTTGCTTTTCCTGAGATAGTATGAAATTATTTCATGAACTTGTCATTTAGCTTTATAGCTGTATTCTTACCAAATGATAAATATCTAAGCATGAGACTTGTTAAGGTGTGTGACACTTTGTCTTCATTTACTTACGTCATCTTGAAATGCAGAAAACCTGAAGTTAAATATTTTTTTTGTAAAGGTAAGATTTCTTTAGAAGCAGGAATGCAATGAAAAGTTTAGTTATAAAGGTGCAGTAGCAGGATAACAAATATCTGGGATACCAATCACTCAACTTTTCTGGTGTTCTTTGTATTTCAGTTGCAGGTAAGTCTTTTAATTCTAAAATTCTTTACATTTTTAGCCATGTTATCATATTGAAAAGACTATCTTGGAATGTAATAACATTTTTTCTGAAATCAGTTTTGACATTTGAGGATGCTTTGGAAATCTTGCAAGGAAAGTGCCACGAATACATGGTTTAGACTGGATTAAGCAATTACTAAATATGAATACATTAGAAAACAGTGATTTCTCCATCTTAGTTTTTTTTTTCTTTGTGTTTCTTTATCCCCTAATTAAACATTTACAGATATTTCTAGGCTGCTGTTCTCTAGGCAATCCCTGTAATTACTACCACACTGGTAGAATTGTATAACTTTGGTCCAAAAGTAAGAAGGGTGCAATTTAAAAGTAAAGAGGTATTATTGCATTGAGCTGTAAAAACTAGGAATGCTAATTAATAGATTATAGTTAGCTAACAGTGTGTTCTAATTAAATTCTGAATTCATAGTGTCTTCTATAGCCTTTTGGAGTTGGTCACTTCAGCCCATCATGTGGAAGATCAGTTTAATAGGATTTTCTGTAATTAAACAGACTTCTCTGTTTAGACTCTGAACAAAGAATTTCCCAGATCTGCTGGGGGACCAGAAAATATCTTCATTACCTCCTCAGCCTCCTTCTAAAATGAGTTCCAGTATAATTGCAGGAGTTGGAGTTTTAGACTTAATTATGAGTATTTCAGCACATCACTTTTAAAAAAGACTTCTTGCACGAGCAGTGCTTGTGCTTTTATATGCAATTTATCTCAGGTCAGGTGTACTGTTAAAAATTGACTCAAGCTCATGGAGCCAAGATGTTTGCTGACTCATGCCATTATCTGATAGTCATCTCAATCTCTTTCCTGTGGTCATGGCTCTATATTCTTCTACACTTGATTGTCCCTGATTGTATTGCTGTTCTTGTCACCTCAGCTTGAGTGATTGAATTGCCCCTTGGGTTTGGGGGTTGTTAAAAGGACCTGAAAATGAGAGCCCTGGTTGATTGCTACCTCAACCTTCTGTGAGTAAACTCACCGGTGTCTTGAGTTTTCTTTCCTGCTTCTTGGGAACATGTACAAATAAATATATTGCTTATTGATTTCCAGGGAATTTTCTGGGTTCAGTAAAGCTCAGAGGACGAGTGGGGAGATTAAAGAGCATGCTACCTGTCCTGAGGCAGTCACAGCCTTTTGGTTGTGCTCTGAGGGCAGTAGGTGGGAGGGATATTTTGGATATTATCCTGAGAATGCCAGGCACATGCTCTCTGTAGCTCTCACATGGGTGGCAGTCCTGCAGTCTTGCCCAGATGTGGTCTTTTCCCCAGTTGTGGTGCAGCACAGCTGGATTCATCAGCTGCTCTGAGCAAATGCTACAACTGGGGAGTGGAGCTTTATTTTCATCCTTTGTTACTGATCCTGAAGAGACAGAAAATCCTTTCTTTTCGTAAATGGGGAATGTCATTGAAAGCTCACTTTGAAGAGCTCTAAACTAAGCATGGAAAGTATTCCTGTAGATTCTTGGAAGTGCACGACAGTTCTCAGTGCAGTGTGGATGAGCTAACCAATCATTCTTTGCAAGAAGCCCAGAGGAGAGTGCAAATGATTGCTCAGTTATGCAAACCTATGCATATTCAAGGAGGAATTGATGAAACCAGTAAACAGGAGTTTGGTTTGGCATGGTGTCACTTTCCTCAGCCTGCTTTAGTGGGAGCTGTATTTTTCTGAATTGAAAAATAACTTCTTTTTAGTGTGTATGGTCTGAAGTTTCCCTGGAAACCTCTTCATCAGAAGCCAGAAAAGGAAAGACAGTGAAGATGTTTTGCACCATGGTAGAAATAATTTGCCTATAAACTGGGCAGTGGTGGGGTGATGTGAAAATCAAGGACAGAGGAATTCCTCTCAGTTGAAACTTGCTTATGGCAAGGTGGTTGTGCCTTAAAATAAGTAGTGCAATGCAGATTTGATGCCCAATGCCCTGCATTGAAATTTCCCACATTCGACTGATCTACTTTTAAGATCAGATTTATGTTTCAACTAAAATAGTGTGGTACTGCTGAAAAATTCTTTTTCCTTTGATGCATTTCTGTGGTCTTCTTGTGGGTAGAGATTTTGGATGCCTGAGTCAGAGAGTTTAACCAAGAAAATATTTCTGAAAGGACTTTCACCTGGCTTGGGGTAAGCACTTGAAGAACATTGTATTTTATTGTGATGGATGTATTCCAGCATTTCACCAGCATTCTTCTCCAGAGTCAGAAGTATTTTCCATTTCTTAATAGTGTATAATGAGTGTCTTACTTTCAGAAATGTAGTTGTCCATGTGTTAACCTCTTAAATATATTGGGTGCTGCTGTTATGTGACTGGCTGAGCTTCTAAAGAGTACATTCTCTCTCTGAAAATCAGATTAAACCAAACAACAACAGAGAATCAATTTTTTTCAATTACGTATTAAAAATTTGATGTGTCTTAGTGCTGTGTCATTCTGTTAGTAGCTGCATTCCTGAGTTGGTTATTAGTTGATAGAAACACTAAGCTTTCTTCCATTCTGGATGTTTAATTGTGCAGTATATGGTTCCATAGGCATTGCTTAAAGGCATTCTCTTTATCCCAGAGTATTGCATTTAAATAGTTCCTTCAATGGCAGATGCCTGTTGGCTCTCTAGAATTCTGCCAGCTTTAAGGTTCCTTCTGTCTTTCCCCAGCTGCAGCATGAAGTTTTAATTTAGTTCTCTTTCAGAATAAGTCAAAACTACCTCCTCAAGTGTGCTTGGTATCTGAAGCATTTATCAAGTTGCAGCACTTTGTAACAACCTCAGAAATTGTCATGTGATCACCCAAGAAAACAGCCTGTCTTCTGTCTTTCAATTCTGCAAGGAAATAAAACTAGACATTTTGTGGTTATCTGTATTCCCCAAGGCTCCTTTTGTCCCGTGATTCCTATTGAGGTAGGATCTAATACCTTGGGTTGCTTTGAGCTGTAGCATAGGCTGAACAGCTGCTGTCTACTTGATCCATTAAACATATAAGGGGAATAGTAGCAACTTAAAAGCAGCTTGGAATAAAACAGATGACGTCAGTGGTGCTGTTGAACTTAGTAGTTTAACTGTGCTTTTTTTTGCTGTTAAGCTGGAGCAGGAATTACTTTAAATTCTGCAGAACTTAGAGCAGACTCTTTCTGCTATAATTCTTTCTCTAGTATGTATTGAGTCTGATATTAAACTCCTAACTGCCTAGGGTGGCAGTGTGTTATTTCACCATTTAGTGTTTATATTCCTGGAAAGTCTTATCTGTAATGCTGTATTTCTCTAGAAGCCATCATTCCTTTCAGCATTGTTGCATTTATGGTGTCTGAGTTAGTAATTTTTTCCCTTAAGTGTTGGTTGTTGCTTTCTAAAGTATGAACTAGGTAGCTTGAA